TTTGGTTGCTTTCTCATCTCTGAAGATGGACTCCTGTAAGAGTTCGAAAGCTTGGAACAATAAATCAATTGATCTGGTGCTCGACACGCCCTCTTCCTCGTCCATGCAAATACCTGGATCGCGAACTTTCTTATTCATTCATAGATCAAAATAACCAGCCAAGACGATCAATGCTAGCTTCTGTGGTGGCAGTCGGTCAAAACGCTGATTGTGGATTGCCTGTTAATACTCCCTTAGTTGTTTTTTTATCCTCCGGATGCGAGCTCCCTCAACCGCAGATAATGTTTCGAGGAAACTAAATCGCCAGTGTCTGTGCTGAGGCGTGGTAAGGCGCACTTTATTGTGCAGGATCATGATCACACCGGGAAAATTTGACTGAAGCATGCTGGCTATTGCAAATACACGAGTAAACTACCATCAATTGAGCAGTCCAAGAGGGTAGGGCTGCGTGCGACAATGATTACCCGTGGGGGTATCATGTTTTCAATGGAATTGCATGTGCCAACAAAAGCTACAAGCCGCTCCAAGTGTGCCAACAACTAGTAGAAAAACAGTAAAGAGAATAGCTCAATAGGGAGGAATTTATCATGCAGATGATGAACTATTTGCATTCTCAACAATCATATCGCGTAAGGGCCTGGATTTGTACACCAGCATGGTAGCGAATACTCTAGTTTGAGCACGTTGATGACGCAAGCCAAAATGGCGCGGAATAGTGACTCACCAGTTGACACCTGTAATAACTGCAGGAGGGAACTACATGCCTTTTCAAGGTGTGTTGGAGCGTAACGCCCTGCACGTTTACTACGTCATATCGCACAAGCGCACAAGTAGCAATCAGTTTTGATGGGCAGTCAGTATCTTAAGGAAGTGGCGAAGAGGTTGTACTGCTACAAAACCCCTACTAGTTAATTGTGCCTGGTAGTCAGCGGGTGGATTCTAGATTGATTTATTAGAAAATCTTGCTTACTGTATCAGAAGTATTAGACTCTATACGTTTCGGCAGGCTGAGTGGGTAACTTTACCAAAATTTGATCAAGCTCATGATTCCCTGTGGGGGCCTCTGAGCTAAGTTGATTAGAGCGTCGACTGTACGTAAGCCCTCCCCTTGCTGGCGTTGGCACGAATCCCACCGAGGGCACCGCGTTTTTCACAAATGGATCAATGAAAAACTCGGTCTATCCAAGGGCAGACTCTGGAAGTTTATTTATAAGTGGGATCAAAAAATACAACAGAGTAATCCTTTGTGGCGACAAATAGAGTTAAGGTCCACAAGAACAGACAGTTTGTAAAACACGGGCGGCCGGGCTGGGAGTAAAGACGAGTGCAAGTAAACAAAATATGTCCACAACTCTCTGCGAAGGATAAGAAAGAGCGTAGCAACGAACATTATTTCCAATGAGCAAGGTATCACAGTATGCCGGAATCTTGCGGACTACCAGGGACAACGGCGGGAGGTGCTGCGACGTCTTGGTTGCCGGAGTCCAGGTAGTGTTCCACCAAGTTAACCATGTTCCGCAGAGCGCTCAGTTCGCACTGCCGGCCTACCAGGTTTCCCCAAAGGATCGCAAAGACAATGGCCCCGACTAGCAGGACTATGAGGGTTTGAAGGAAAGCCAGGCCCGGATGCGTGAAAGGGGCAAGACAGCCGAACAAGAACACCAGCACAAGGAGGACGA